CCGGTTAGGGGTCGCGGCATTAAAAAGGTTGAGAACCACTGTTTTAGGTGGCTTCCTGTAAGATGCTAAGAAAAAGACACAGGCATGTCTTAAGCAGAGGTTTGAAGCTGCAGGATACAGCTTGCTGTATACAGTGTATTGCTTCTTATATACTTGTTACATACATAGGCTTTACCATTAAATGCTGACAAAGGTTTCTTCATTGGAAAATGTCTTCATGTAAGCAACTATTTTCTAGTAACACATTACATGGTCAGAGACCAGGTAAGAACAAATACAGGGAGATGAACACAGAAGGAACTAACAAAGGCAGGAAGAGATAGGAGAAGGAACTAAGCATATTATCTGTTTAGGTAGGTGAGGCATTAAGTCAAAAGGGTATGACCTTTTGGCTGCTTCACTGGGACAAAGGATATCAAACGGTTATGAGTTTTGGGGGGAGGAAAGCACGGCAGTTTGCTGCGCATGCATTCCCCCCCACAGTTTCCACTAATCCGAAAGGCAGAATTTTACTTGTATTATTATGTGTACATTGGGGGCTGTGTAACTTACAGTAAGCCAGTGTTTCCCAAACTTGACCATTTTAAGGCATGTGGACTTCAACTCCCAGAATTCCACAGCCAGCATTGCTGGCTGTGGAATTCTGGGAGTTGAAGTCCTCATGCCTTAAAATGGTCAAGTTTGGGAAACACTGCAGTAAGCCAATGTGGGGGGAAGTCTGGCTGGTTTCAAAGACTTGTTCTTTCCAGATCCTAAAATCTTTCGAGAGATCAGGTTGCGGTTGAGATTGCCACGAGGGCAAGATTAGGTAGGTTGTTTGATCACAAGGCCCACCACCCCCAGCCAACGTGACCAGTGGATGAGAATGTGAGAGTTGCAGTCCAAAATTTCTGAAGGCGCTGAGGTGGTTTCTGAAAAAGGTTAAGAGTTCCTGCACCCAGTTTGGTTTAATGGTTACGGCACCAGGCTAGAACGCACGGGACAGTGAATTCTAGTCCCTAGGCATGAACGCCAGCAGGACGACTTTGGGCCAGTCACTCTCAGACCAACCCACCTCTCAGGATTGTTGTTGTTGGGGGGATATGTTTGTGGCCTTGAGTTATTTGTAAAAATAATAACGGTGGGATGCAAATAAACGCATTCCCAAAGCTGCTTTCTCTTCTAGTTCTGTCAATTTTCTCAATAGTGATGAAGATAATGTTATTATAATAATGATGATGATGATGATGTTGGAAGGGACCTTGGAGGTCACCTAGTCCAACCCCCTGCTCAGGCAGGAAACCCTATACCAGTGATGGCGAACCTTTTAGAGACCGTGTGCTCAAACTGCAACCCAAAACCCACTTATGCATCGTCGGGTGCCGGGTGGGTGTGGCCCATTGGGTGGGTGTGGCCCATTGGGTGGGCGTGGGCCATTGGGCATGGCCCATTGGGTGGGCGTGGCTGTGGTGGTAACAGCAGACTGGGTGGGACTAAAAAGTTCAGTCAATCAATTCCAACTTTGCAAGATCTTTTTTTTTCCCGTAAGAAGTTGAAATTGACTGATTGATTGAACCTTTTTTTTTTTGTACATGACCGAGGAGGCCTAAAGCGAAAAGGTTTTATAAAACCCAGCTGAAGGTCTAGGACTGGGGTGATGGCGCGTGCCCACAGAGAAAGCTCTGAGTGCCACCTTTGGCATCCGTGCCATAGGTTCACCACCATTGCCCTATAGCATTTCGGACAAATGGCTGTCCAGTCTCTTCTTAAAAACTTCCAGTGTTGGAGCATCCACCGCTTCTGGAGGCAGGTTGTTCCACTGGTTAATTGTTCTAACTGTCAGGAAGTTTGTCCTTAGTTCTAGGTTGCTTCTCTCCTTGATTAGTTTCCACCCGTTAGTTCTTGTCGTGTGATTCACTTAACAATGGTAGCGTGAAAGGTTGTAAAACAGGGCAAAATTCACTCCACAAATGCCTCGCTTAGCAACAGAAATTTGGGGCTGAACAGCGGTCGTAAGTTGGGGACGACCTGTACTTTTGCTCTTCCTCTGTGCCTCCAGATTTGTTTGTGCATTTAAGCATCGCCCAGCTTCGCTCCCAAGAAGGCCTTGGCCCAAGTTGGGACAGGGTGTGACAGCTTCAAATTAGAGATGGCCCGAGTGGCGAAGTGGGGTGGCTTAAGAATGCTCAACCACCAGGGACATTTCTTTGTTTGGCTTCTTGGGCCAGGTTTTTGACATTCCTGACTGATTTTATTTATTTATTTATGAGACTTATGTACCGCTTTAAGTGCAAGCACTCTCTAAGCGGTGTACACCAGTAAGCAATATATATATATATATATATTTACATTGCCCCCAACAATCTGGGTCCTCATTTTACCTACCCCGGAAGGATGGAAGGCTGAGTCAACCTTGAGCCGGTGAGATTTGAACCGCTGACCTGCTGAACACAGTCAGCTAAAGTGGCCTGCAGAGATGTATGGGTTCTCCCACCTCTGCTAGGAACTTCCATAGATTATAAGCCAGGATTGTTTGAGGATAGGGTTATCTGGTGTGTATGTGTGTAGAGCAAGAGTTGTCAGCTGATCCGGGGCTGAACGCACCATTTTGTACCATGCTATAGAGGCGTGTTTCTCCCCACGTTTGGTTTCAAAATAGCTGAAAAATGTTGCCTTTTTTTCTCTCATCCCAAAGTCACGTGTGATTGTGGCGGGCTTGCCTACGATCTTGTGCAATTTGGCGATGTGGAGAGACGTTAGCCGCCAAAAGAAAAGTAAATTTTCTCAGAAATGAACTGCTTTTCTGTTGTAGAATAGAATAGAGCTGGAAGGGACCTTGGGAGGTCTTGTAGTCCAGCCCCCTGCTCAAGCAGGAGACCCTATACCATCTCAGACAGGTGAATGTCTAGTCCAGGGGTAGGCAACCTTAGCTCTTTTATGACTTGTGAGCTTCAGCTCCCAGAATTCCTGAGCCAGCATGGCTCAGCTTGGAAACCTTTCCCTTTCCCCTCAGCATGGCTGCTTCAGGAATTCTGGGAGTTGAAGTCCACGAGTCATAAAAGGGCCCAGGTTACCTACCGCTGGTCTAGTCTCTTCTTAAAAATCTCCAGTGATGGAGCGCCCACGATTTCTGGGGGCAAGCTGTTCCACTGGTTGATTGTCCTCACTCTCAGGAAGTTTTTCCTTAATTCCAGGTTGCTTCTCTCTTTGGTCAGTTTCCATCCATTGCTTCTTGTCCTGCCTTCAGGCGCCTTGGAGAACAGCTTGACCCCCTCTTCTTGGTGGCAGCCCCTCAAATACTGGAATACTGCTGTATGGGAGGCCAAACATTGGTTTGCATCACAGGCTACAACTCTGGCTTAGTGACCGTTACAACAGGACTGAAGAAAAGTGACGTACGATCAGTCTTCCCACTTAACAACCATGGCAGCCTTCCAGCCATTACGTGATCAAAATCCAGGTGCTGGAAACCGGCATGCATTTTCAACCGCTGCTGCATCCTGTGGGGTGTGTGCCATGTGATCGCTGTGGGCGACCTTTCCAGCCAACGTCCAACAATCAAAACCAGCATCGCTTAACAACATGATTCACTTAACACCGCAGTAATTTGCTTGACACCCATGGCCAAAAGGTTGTAAAATTTGGTGTGTGACTCAACGTTCTGGACAGACTCGAACACTGGGCGCTATCTAACAAAATTCAACAGTGAAAAAAGCAAGGTTCTACATTTAGGCAAGAAAAACCAAATGTACAGGTATAGTATAGGGGGTACTTTGCTCAATAGTAGTAACTGTGAGAGGGACCTCGGAGTCCTAGTGGACAATCACTTAAATATGAGCCAGCCCTGTGCTGCAGCTGCCAAAAAGGCCAACACAGTGTTAGGCTGCATTAACAGAGGGATAGAATCAAGATCACGTGAAGTGTTAATACATTCTTCAATGCCTTGGTAAGGCCACACTTGGAATACTGCATCCAGTTTTGGTCACCGCGATGTAAAAAAGATGTTGAGACTCTAGAAAGAATACAGAGAAGAGCAACAAAGATGATTAGGGGACTGGAGGCTAAAACATAGAAGGAACGGTTGATTGAATTGGGTATGTCTAGTTTAATGAAGAGAAGGACGAGGGGGGACAAGATAGCAGTGTTCCAGTATCTCATGGGTCACCCCAAAGAAGAGGGAGTCAAGCTATTCTCCAAAGCGCCTGAAGGCAGGACAAGAAGCAACGAATGGAAACTAGTCAAGGAAAGAAGCAACCTAGAACTAAGGAGAAACTTCCTGACAGTCAGAACAATTAACCAATGGAACAACCTGCCTCCAGAAGCAGTGAATGCTCCAACACTGGAAGTTTTTAAGAAGAGACTGGACAGCCATTTGTCCGAAATGGTATAGGGTTTCCTGCCTGAGCAGGGGGTTGGACTTGATGACCTCCAAGGTCCCTTCCAACTTTATTATTATTATTCAGCTTGCTTTTGCAATGGAAATTCTGGGCCCAATTGCAGCCGTAAGTCGAGGATTACCTGTAGGCTACCCAAGTGGTGACTTTGTACTCTGCACGTTTGTACAGGTAGTTTTCGACTTAACAACCGTTTATTTTGTGACAGTTCAGAGTTACCATGGCACTGAAACTGATTTACGACCGTTTTTCCACACTTCTGATCATTGCAGCCTCCCTGTGGGCACATGATCAAAATTCGGCCGTTTGGCAACTGACTCATATTTACGACGGTCGCAGTGCAAAGTCAATGCGGGGATCCAGACTCACTTAACAATCGTGTTACCAACTTAGCCAATGCAACGGTTCACTTAACGACTGCGGCAAGAAAGGTCATAAAATGGGGGCAAAGCTCACTTGGCAAATGTTTCACTTAGCAACATAAATTTTGGGCTCAACTGTGGTCGTAACCTGAGGACTTTACCTGTACAAAATTGGTACACTTCAGAGATGCTAGAGACTCAAAAGTCCAGCCTGCCTATATGATGCCCCTGCAATAACTTGATTTTTTTTTCTTTTCTCCTTCAGCTGGTGCATATTATCCTGCGCAGAACGTGCAACAATTCCCAACTTCTCAAGTCATGATGAACCCACAGCCACCGATCCCGCCAAAGCGAGAGCGCAAGACAGTAAGAAACGGGGGGCAGGCACCTGGGGTGGGGAAATAATAAAATTGCCATTATTTAGGCCAGAGGTCTTCTAACTTGGCAACTTTAAGACTTGTGGACTTTAATTCCCAGAATTCCTCAGCCAGCCCTAGTGTTTGTGATTCCAAGCTTTAAAACAAGAGAGGGCATAAGAATATTAGCACCAATAGTCCTTGATTTAAAAGAGTTCGTTTAGTGACTGTTCAAAGTTACAACGGTAGTGGAAAAAAGTGATTTACGACCCTTTTTCACGCTTACCGGTTGTTACAGTCTTCCCATGGTCATCTGGTCGAAATTCAGATGTTTGGCAACCGACTCATACTTAACGACGGTCGCCGTGTCCCTGGGTCACTTGAACTGCTTTTGCCACCTTCTGACAAGCAAAGTCAACGGGAAAGCGAGATTCACTTAACAACTGCGTGGCTAGCTTGACAGCTGCAGTGATTCACAAACTGTGGCAAGCAAGGTTGTAAAACGGGGCAAAACTCACTTAACACATGTCCCACAGAAATTTTGGGCTCAATTGTGATCGTAAGTCGAGGATTACCTGCACCAAGGTTTATATTTCACTTCCTTAGCTCAAGGTGGTTTAATTGAGATTCTGCCTTTATTATCACACAGCTATCCAATAAAGGTAAGTGGGTCTGGGAGAAAGTGATACATTCAGAGGTACCTAGGCAGATGGATGTACTATGCAGTTGGATGTTGTTGTTAGTTGCGAAGTCGTGTCCGACCCATTGTGACCCCATGGACAACATTCCTCCAGGCCTTCCTGTCCTCTACCATCTTCTGGAGTCCATTGAAGCTCACGCCTACTGCTTCAGGGACTCCATCCAGCCACCTCATTCTCTGTCGTCCCCTTCTTCTCTTTCCCAGCATTAGGCCCTTCTCCAGTGAGTCCTTCCTTCTCATTAGGTGGCCAAAGTATTTGAGTTTCAACTTCAGGATCTGGCCTTCTAAAGAGCAGTCGGGGTTGATCTCCTCTAGGACTGACCGATTTGAACGCCTTGCAGTCCAGGGGGCTCGCAGGAGTCTTCTCCAGCACCAGAGTTCAAAGGCCTCCATTCTTTGGCGCTCAGCTTTTCTTATGGTCACAGTAATTGCGTATCCAATACATTTGTTGGAAGCTCATGCAAAACTTACCTCTTCATTTTCAAGCCAGCCACAGCCTCCTCCATGGTGCCATTTGTGTCATCTGCATGCTGAAGTCGCTGCTGAAGGATTGTCATTCTGATTTAATGGATAGTTAGAAATAATGGTCACCTTCTTGCCCGACCTGGTCCCCTTAAATTAAACTTTTCATTTATAGTTCTTACCAGGTATGTAAAAAAAACCCCAACCCCTAATATTCTCCAGAATGTTTCATTCATTCATGCTGTGGCTCATACCAATCCATGCTTTCCGGGGTGTGTTCAGCAGACTTCATTCCTCTGAATGAAACTGTTGAGCAACCCTCAAAAGTCAGTTTGGCATATTCTAGGTACAGAACTGAGAAAGTTCACAAAAGGCCAGCCTTGGCATATTCTGGTTCTTCTCCTTGGGGCTTTATGTAATGATGCTCTTTCCTACCTGGTACAACAGGTACAGCCAGCTCTGTTCTAGCTATGTAGGTGATTAAGGCACCAGGCTAGAAGCTGCGACACTTGAGTTTCAGTCCCGACTTAGGCAGGAAAGCTGGCTGATAACTTTGGGCCAATCATCTGGAGACTGTGAATTCTAGTCCCGCCTTAGGCATGAAAGGCGGCTGGATAACTTTGGGCCAATCACCAGGAGATAGTGAGTTCTAGTCCCACCTTAGGCATGAAAAGCAGCTGGATAACTTTGGGCCAATCACCGGGAGACTGTGAGTTCTAGTCCCGCCTTAGGCATGAAAGGCGGCTGGATAACTTTGGGCCAATCACCGGGAGATAGTGAGTTCTAGTCCCGCCTTAGGCATGAAAGGCGGCTGGATAACTTTGGGCCAATCACCAGGAGATAGTGAGTTCTAGTCCCGCCTTAGGCATGAAAGGCAGCTCGATAACTTTGGGCCAATCACCAGGAGATAGTGAGTTCTAGTCCCGCCTTAGGCATGAAAGGCGGCTGGATAACTTTGGGCCAATCACCGGGAGACTGTGAGTTCTAGTCCCGCCTTAGGCATGAAAGGCGGCTGGATAACTTTGGGCCAATCACCAGGAGATAGTGAGTTCTAGTCCCGCCTTAGGCATGAAAGGCAGCTCGATAACTTTGGGCCAATCACCAGGAGATAGTGAGTTCTAGTCCCGCCTTAGGCATGAAAGGCAGCTCGATAACTTTGGGCCAATCACCAGGAGATAGTGAGTTCTAGTCCCGCCTTAGGCATGAAAGGCGGCTGGATAACTTTGGGCCAATCACCGGGAGACTGTGAGTTCTAGTCCCGCCTTAGGCATGAAAGGCGGCTGGATAACTTTGGGCCAATCACCGGGAGATAGTGAGTTCTAGTCCCGCCTTAGGCATGAAAGGCGGCTGGATAACTTTGGGCCAATCACCTGGAGATAGTGAGTTCTAGTCCCGCCTTAGGCATGAAAGGCAGCTCGATAACTTTGGGCCAATCACCAGGAGATAGTGAGTTCTAGTCCCGCCTTAGGCATGAAAGGCGGCTGGATAACTTTGGGCCAATCACCGGGAGACTGTGAGTTCTAGTCCCGCCTTAGGCATGAAAGGCGGCTGGATAACTTTGGGCCAATCACCGGGAGACTGAGTTCTAGTCCCGCCTTAGGCATGAAAGGCGGCTGGATAACTTTGAGCCAATCACCGGGAGACTGTGAGTTCTAGTCCCGCCTTAGGCATGAAAGGCGGCTGGATAACTTTGAGCCAATCACCGGGAGACTGTGAGTTCTAGTCCCGCCTTAGGCATGAAAGGCGGCTGGATAACTTTGGGCCAATCACCAGGAGATAGTGAGTTCTAGTCCCACCTTAGGCACGAAAGCCAGCTGGGTGACTTTGGATCAGTCACCGAACTCTCAGTTCAGTCCCACCTCACAGGATGGTGGTTGTGGGAGAAAATAGGGGAAGAAGGAATATTGTATGGCTTCACCGCCATGAATTATTTATAAAATCGATAAAGGTGTGGGATATAATAAACAGTAAGACAAATTTTTTTTTTTAAAAAAAATGTTTAGCCTGGTGGGAAGCCGTTGCTTCTCACCTTTGGAAAATTCCAGATGTGGATTGAGACGAAGCAGGCCCCGCGCTGTGTGTGTGTGTTTGTGTGCCTGCTATTTGTGGGAAATGTTGCAAGATGGGTCAGAGTTCAGCGAGTACAAAAGTCCAAAAGGGTACATGGAACGTGAGCGGTGGGAGCAGGCTGGAACTCTGCAGAGAGCAAAGGCTGTTGAACGCCGGACTGCTTCTTTTTAAGTCCCGAATCCTGCAGGATTTCTGCCGAAGTTGCTCTCATACCCCCGATGTTGCAGCATCGGAGAAGAAGAATCGGGTGAGATAAATCAGAAATCGGTATTTTTTTTTTTCTTTGCAAAGGCTGGCACCATCCACCTTGAGGGAACCGCTTTGCTTTTTCCCTGCCTTTGCTTAATTATTTTTTGATTTATATATTTTTTAAGAGCTTACCTCACCTTTATTATTTATGTAAATGACTCAATGCGGCCAACATGCCTAATATTCCTTCCTCCTGTTTATCCCGTGACAACCCTGAGAGGTGGGTTGGGCTGAGAGAAAGGGATTGGCCCAAAGCTTCAAGCTTGAGTAGACGGGCCGAAAGACCGTGCCCTCCCTCCGCACAAACCTCGCTCCCAGTTTTAGCGAGAGAGGCTCTATTTGAATTTCCTCTGCAAAAAGAATGTTAAAAGCCACTTTAATTGTTGTTAGTTGTAAAGTTGTGTCCAACCCATCGCGACCCCATGGACAACGTTCTTCCAGGTCTTCCTGTCCTCTACCATCTTCTGGAGTCCCTTTAAGCTGATGCCTACTGCTTCAGTGATTCCATCCAGCCACCTCATTCTCTGTCGTCCCCTTCTTCTATTGCCCTCCATCTTTCCCAGCATTAGGTTCTTCTCCAGTGAGTCCTTCCTTTTTATTAGGTGGCCAAAGTACTTGAATTTCAACTTCAGGATCTGGCCTTCTAAAGAGCAGTCGGGGTTGATCTCCTCTAGGACTGACCGGTTTGATTGCCTTGCAGTCCAGGGGACTCACAGGAGTCTTCTCCAGCACCATAGTTCAAAGGCCTCAATTCTTTGGCGCTCAGCCTTTCTTATGGTCCAACTTTCACAGCCATACATTGCGACTGGGAAAACCATGGCCTTGACTATACGCACTTTTGTTGGCAGGGTGATGTCTCTGCTTTTTAGTATTGAAGTTACAGCAGACCCCTGCTTTAGACTAAGAAAACTAGTTAGCATTCTGTCCCAACCAAGTCAATGGGGAAGCCAGGTTTACCAAACACCCATGTGACTCACTTAACAACGGCAGTGATACACTTAATAACCGTGTCCAGAAAGGTTGTAAAATGGGGCAAAACTCACTTAACAAATGTGTCACTTAGCAACAGAAATTGTGGGCTCCCTTGTGACTGTAAGTTGCAGGCTACTTGCACATGCCGGGTTGCCATGCAGCCGAATTTTGATCATGTCACCATGGCAATGCTGCAGCGGTCATCAGAGGAAGAACCAGTTGTAAGTCGTGTTTTGTTCAGTGCCATTTTAATGAAGGATTGTAAATCGCCTTCAGAGCAGCTTCTCTCAAATTGAGCCTGGGCACCCCAAGTACTTTCCCCACAGAAGCTCCATTAGGAAGCTGAGTTAATAGCTGGTCAATTTTGCTCCAAGGGAAGCTCCTAAAGCACAGCCAGCCCTTGGAGAAGAGACCGGGGTGTGTGGGGAGTGTCCCAAGACATACACACATACATAGAAGTTCTCCTGTTGTTGTTGTTTTTGTCTCGTGTCGGAAGCACCGAAGAAAGGATTTGCCAGTGATATCACCGTTGGCCGAGTGAACGCCCACTTGGGGGT